GAGCCCAGCAGGTCGAGGCTGTGGTGGCTGGGAGCGGCCACTGCACTCCAGTCTGGGCAACAGAGTGAGACACCAACTCAAAAAAAAAAAGACTGACCGCCATAACAGATTTTTACCCTTAACAACTTTGATTTTTTTGTTTTCTCTATGTATTTAATTCCTACTTACTGTTTTTAGTTTCCTGAATATCTTATCACACCCATTTCCTATTTTATCTCAGCCTATTTTTTTCCTTGGCCTTTGATTCAGAATTCACAAAGGCAATGGTATCTTATACTTACCAAGCATTTTCTTTTTCTTTTTTTCTTTTTTTGAGTTGGAGTCTCACTGTCGCCCAGACTGGAGTACAGTGGCATGCTCACAGCCACCGCAACCTCAACCTGCTGGGCTCAGGAGATCCTTCCACCTCAGCCTTCCAAGTAGCTGGAACCACAGGCGCATGCAATCACACCCAGCTAATTTTTTGATTTATCATAGCGACAAGGTCTTGCCAAGTTGCCCAGGCTAGGCAATCCTCTCATCTCCACCTCCCAAAGTACTGAGATTACAGGCGTGAGCCACTATACTCGGCTCAGAAAAAAAATTTAAATCTACATGTCTATTATATTCAGTGATAGCATTTTGTTTGTAGGTTACTTATTTTAAGACACATATGACAGATCATCACAATTTCTTTTATAACAGCAATCTGGTTAAAATGATGGTTCATATTTACTCTCATAAAGTAATTTATGCCAACTGCACAAAAGTTTAAAAAACTAAGTTAAAAAAAAAAAAAAGCACCAGAAAAGGAAAATCAACCATGGTCTTGCCACAGCCACTGTTCACATCTGGGGTATATCCTTCCAGACAGAATTATCTGTACATGAATAAATAAATACAATTAAACATTTTTAATAGCTGGGTGCAGTGACTCACATCTATAATCCCAGCACTTTCCATGGGAGGTAGAGACAAGAATATTGCCTGAGCCCATGGGTTCAAGACCAGCCTGGGCAACATGGTGAAACCTCATCTCTACAATAAATTAAAAAAAAAAAAATTAGGTGGGCATGGTGGTGCATGCCTATAGTTCCAGCTACTTGGAAGGCTGAGGCGGAAGGATCGCCTGAGCCCAGCAGGTCGAGGCTGCGGTGGCCATGAGCATGCCACTACACTCAAGTCTGGGCGACAGAGTGAGACTCCTCAAAAAACAGATTGTTTTTATTTTACAAAATGCTCTATCAAATGTACCTCACACAAACATATTTTCAATGCCATTAAATCCAGTCCTGTACCATTGTTTTAATGGTTACATATTCTCTTGACTTGAATGTACAATAATTTAACCCCTGGTAATCTTCTTTTTGGGTCATTTAGGTTTGTTTCCATTATTCACAATCACAACACTAAAATGATCTCCATTTGTACATTCTTGGGAAGAATCCAATTGTTCATTAGGGGTGAATTCTTACTAAATCAGTTGGTGTGACTAAGTTTAAGGCTTCTGATGGCTACAGCTAGACACCCTTTCTCACCATACCCTCAACCAATACTGCTTTCAATCTCTTAGATTAAAAAATGGCTTCTCATTGAGATTTTAATTTGCATTTATTTTAATTATCAGCATGATTAGATTTTGGTGTGGAGGAGGAAAGTGGGAAATAAAACAATTCTACCTAATACCTTTGCTTTAGTTCTTACCCTTGGATCGGTATCTTCTTCTTCTTCTTCAGGGTTATAGGACTCAGCACAGACTAAAATTGGAGAGAAAAAATAAAGAGAAAAATGAACAGACATGTTTAGGAAAAGCAGAAAGTGAACACAGTTTCCTTTTACTCACTGTTTTCTAAAGTTGTAACAATCTTTTTTAAATTATTTCTTTCAATTAATAGACATAATAAGTACCTACTAGTGTCAGGCATTCTTTTAGGTGCTGAAAATTGAGCTCTTTAGAAGTTGTTGGTCCCAAATAGGAGAAATTAAAACATATTGCCTACTAAATCCTATGGTAGTGGTAAGGACAAACAAGGAGGTGTTGCCTCTGCTGAGTTATAAAGCAGGGGTAAAAAACCACAAGGTATAATATACACAATATAAACTCAGAGATATGGAGGTAATTACCAAAATAATCAAAATAGTTCAGATTCATTATGGGCATGTATAACTTAAAAATAAGATTGAAGGCTGGCTCATGTCTATAATCCCAGTGGCTCAAGGCTGGCTCATGTCTATAATCCCAGAACTTTGGGAGGCTGAAGTGAGAGGACGGCCTGAGTACAGGAAATCAGGACCAGGCTGGGCAATATGGTGAGACCTCACTCTACAATAAATTGAAAAAATTAGCCAGGTATGGTAGAAGGCTGAGGCAGAAGAATCTGCCTGAGCCCAGGAGGTAGCTATGATCATGCCATGGCTGTCTAGCCTGGGTGAAAAAGTGAAACTCCAACTCAAAAAAAAAAAATTTTTTTAAATGAGAATGGACTTTAAAACAAAACAAATACTATGTGTCAGGCTCTGTTCTCGGTACAATATTTGTAAGTCTAGAGCCAATTTGATTTTCTTTGAAGGCAACCTGTGTTTGTGCCAGTTGTCTAAAGGCTCCTCTTTTTCACTGTAATTCAAAGATTTAAAAAACATTCATTGTGGCTGGATGTAGTGGCTCAAGTCTGTAATCCCAGCACTTTGGAAGGCTGTGAGGGGATTGCCTGAGCCCACAGGTTTCAGAACAGCCTGGCAACTTGGCAAGACCTCATCTCTACAATAAATAAAAAAATTAGCTGGGTGTGGTAGTGCGCCTGTAGTTCCGGTTACTTGGAAGGCTGAGGTGGAAGGATTGCCTGAGCCTAGCAGGTTGACATTGGGGTGGCTGTGAGCGTGCCACTGCATTTTAGCCTGGGAAACGGAGTGAGACTCCAACTCAAAAAAATATACATATTCATCGCAATATTATTTATTTATTTTTTGAATCAGAGTCTCACTCTTCACCCAGGCTGGAGGGTAGTGACATGCTCATGGCCACCGCAGTCTCAACTTCCTGGGCTCAGGCAATCCTTCTGCCTTAACCTCCCAAGTAGCTAGAACTACAGGCCTGCCTCACCACGCCTGACTAATTTTTTTATTTATTGTAGAGGCCGGTGTCGAACTCCTGGGCTCAGGCAATCTTCTCACCTCTGCCTCCCAAATGCTAGGTGTGAGCTACCGCACTCAGCTGCAATATTATTTATAATAGCAAAAATATCAGAAATGATATAATAAACATTTGAATAATGCAACTATAAGAAAGAATGAAGAAGGTCTCCATGGGCTAATAAAGAGTGAGTTCTAGGGGAAAGAAAAGCAAGGTAAAGATTATATATAGTATGCCATATATGCTATCCCTTCCACAAGAAAAGCCTCTCAGAAGAAAGGAAAGCTAAGAATGCAGGGAAAATAAATATATAAATATATATCTTTTCCTTATTTATTCCAAAAGGAAACCATTTGGGAAAATAAACCAGAGAGTAATGAATTTGTTTTCCTATTGGGTAGGTAGAAACAAGAAAGAAAAGATAGGTAAGGAAATGAAACATTTCTGAGGAAACTCTTTTGTTGCCTTTTTTGAGTAGGAGTCTCACTCTGTCACCCAGGCTGGAGAGCAGTGGCAAGATGACGGCTCACTGCAGTCTTAACCACTGCAGTCTCAACCATTTAGGCTTAGGCGATCCTTGGGCACAGCCTCCTGAGTAGCTGGGACTACAGGTGAGTGCCTCCACATCCAGCTAATTTTTTTTTTTTTTTGTAGAGATGAAGTCTTGCTATGTTGCCCAGGCTGGTTTCAGAATGTAACAAACCTATTCTCTCTTCACAATATAGGAGGCCATTACAGCTGGGGAAAGTTTTCTTCTAATAAATCCTCAATGATCTGCAATAGCTGTGTGATCAGAGGTGATTATGATTACTTTTGTTCCATTTGTTCTGGCTTCCAGGAATATTAATTATTGTTACCTTGCTTCTGCTCACTACCTCAGTTCTTTCAACAACTATCCTTTCTTTAAGACTGACCAGCCGGGATCGGTGGCTCAGCCTGTAATCCCGTGCCTTTGGGAGGCTGAGGTGAGTGGATTGCCTGAGCCTGCGGGTTCAAGACCCGCCTGGGCAGCAAGACCTCATCTCTACAATAAATCAAAAAA